AAAAAACAAACCTAGACTCAGCCCAAAACCAGAACTCAAGACCAAACACAAAAACACACTCAACTGGAGACTCAAGTAGCAGAAGGCTCAACGGAGGAAAAAAAACAAATCCGGACTCAGCAACAGAGAATTCGAGTCTGGATTTGAGTCAGTCTGGATTTGTGTCTGGATTTGAGTCTGGGTTTGAGTCAGTCTGTTTTTTGAGTCTGGGTTTGAGTCTGGAGTTGAGTCTGGATTTGTTTTTCTCTGGGGGAAAACGCAGGTTCCAGCCCACCCTAGCCTAGCCCCCAGAAAGCAGCAGGTGACTCAACACCAAACTCAAACTGGATCTCAATCAAGCACTTGAAACCAACACCAGACTAAACAAATAACCCGCATAGAAATATATAGAAATCAGAAAAAGACTCGCATGGAATTTCACCATGGCAAAAGGTTGAACAAAGGAGAAAAGCAAATCCGGACTCAGCAACAGAGAGTTTGAGTCTGGATTTGAGTCTTGTTTTGTGTTTTTTGAGTCCTGTCCTAAGTAGACCTGTTCTCCTGAGTGTGGATGTGTTTTTCCTATATATTTGTTTATTGTTTGAATATTTTTTATTTTTTCAAGGATTTTGGCTCTCTGTGTGTTGAGTTCGGGTTCACAAGAATAGTCCACAGCCCCAAGAAATACAGGAACCCCATCTGCTAGCATTTCAGGATGTTTCAAGCGTGTTTGTTCCCTGAGTTTGCAAAGTTTCTCGGCACCTTCGTGCATGGGAGCTTCCAATGTGGAGGAGGTGAGGTAACCAGTCACTAACATGGTCCTACTACATCCTAGAACAGTTCCTGACTACAAGTAGGACCATGTTCCTGAACAACCATCCTGACTGGTTGTAGTAGTAGTAGTTTTCAGGTAGGATCTAGTTTCCTTTTTGTGTGCAAAGGCATTGAGTCAGTTGCGTTTCTTTTCGCTCCACTGCGTTTCACTTCCTCGGTCGCTTAGCCTATAGCGGCCGAGGGTTTGATCAGTCATACGGCTAAGGCATGTTACACATGAAGCAGAGAGCCCGGACAATCACCTGAATCACCTGAATCACCTATCACCCATAGCATGACATGACCCAAAACACTAGATATTGCATATGTGTAGTTGCTTTTGTGCCTTGTTCATCACCCAACAGTTCAAAGTTGAGAATCATGAGCATGCATTCATTCCTGGAGACACTGGAGATGCATGACTACGAAACCAGGTGTGCAACATCACATACAGCACAGTGTAGAACTCAGGTGACGCGTAGCCCCAGGAATCCACATACGTTTTGAAAAAGTGCTTGGAGATGTTGCAGGTGGGGTACATATAGAGATGTGCAGAGGATCCCAAAAGTCGATCCGAATGGCTTAAGAGCATGGTTAGATTCATGGGGAAGTGCCAAAATCACTTGGAAAACACCTTGGATTGGACTAGACCTGCTTTGACGTGGGTCAGGAGGCCTTGGTGGCCTGGCAGGAAGCGGCAGGGGGGCGCCTAGTCGTGTGGCGTGGAATGTTCACGCACGGCGATTCGATGGATGCTGCGGTCCGACTCTTGAGATTCCTTTCTACCCGGAATTAGCGGTCGTCTCCAACGAAAGAATCTGGGGATATCTGAGGTACGCCTCCAACTCTGTGCTTTGTACCTCAGTCTCTGGAATGAAGCGCCAAGCATACGTGCCGATTCGTGGTTGTCTTGACTATGGTCACTTCGTCTCTCCGAGGTCCTTGTCTTGGGGTCCCACCGCGACTCAGTTGCTTCAGCACGACCGTTCGGCAGAATCCAATGTGGAGTGACGTCCGAAGAGGTGAGTGGAGACCGCCGAAATGGGTAGGTTTGGGTGACCATTGCCGGGGGGCCCCTGCTGTCTGCTAATTCCGAGCCGCCATTTGGATCCATTTGGTACTTGGTACAGTCAGATCCATCGCCCATAGGTCCGGCTCCAACTGCCGAAGCTTGAGACGGTTCAGCAGGCAGTGGCAGTCGATGGCTGTCGTTGTGGTCGCATTCGCGTGTGCAAGAACTATAGCCATCCTAGGTCCCGGCTTGAGGCAGTTCAGTGAGTGCCATGTCGTCATGATGCCATGTCGTTATGGTGCATTGGCAGACCATATAGCCTTCAGTTGAAGAGCCATTGGGGCTTCAGTAGCCACAAATTCAATGGGCGGCATGCTGCGGAAGAGGTTTATGTGGTTTGTATATGACGGCATTGTAACTATTTTTGTTGCATGAAATTTTCTTGCCTCCACTGTGCCAGCATATGTATAGGCAGCTTTGTAAAGGGGCGGGAATTCCTTACAATAGCCAGCATCCGAACCAATTGAAAATCCAACCAGCGCTTGGGTGGAAGCTCTCCACCCCTAATTTGTGTTGAACTCTCAACCCCAAAAAACACCGCATGGCAACATCATCTTCGCCTGGATGCCATGAATCCTGCTCCAGCGGGTGATGCGGCTGATGCGCCTTCTGACGCAGCTCCAAAGAGATCAAAGAGATCGAAGGAGAAGAGGAAACTGAAGAAAGGCACCTGGGAGATTGAAAGGCTGGCAGGCTCTGGGTTTGCCACACCACAGGTCATCACAGGGCTTTTTGTGGGCAGCTTTTTGTAGCACTTTGTGACTTTGTGTTACCCTTCCTTTGTTGGTGCACAAAGAGGCAGAGGATCAGCTGACTCATCTCGTCATTTGAAGCTTCAATCCTTCATCCATTTGCCCTCCCAACGGAAGTCGACGTGACGGCCATGGCCCCTGGAAAGACCGTTATGACCATGGCACTCCGCTACCAACAGAGGGTTGTCCATTTCTGGATTCCAGAAGCCTGCAGCAGAAATCGGATGAATTCGCGCTTTTGGGTTGACAGATCTATAGTGCCCAAACTTGATCAAAGCTGTGGGAATGCTCGTTTCATTTCGTATCCTCACCGGAGGATTCTTGTTCGGCTTGGCTTGGGGATGGCAGGCGCTACACTTCCTAGCCTTTCCGTGGAAGCTCAATAGTTGATGACTATTGAGATGTTATTTGTGGCGTCCATCGTGTGGAGCTTCAAGTCCGTAGTATATGTGGATCACTTTTCATGAGTCGAGGGCGAGGGATGAACATGATCCACAGGCAGCAGGGGGGTCAAAGTTGTGATGATGTTGGGTGAACATCTCCAAGATTCAGATGGCACCTTGACCTCCAAAAAAAACACACTGGAAGTCTAGCCTGAAGAACCCTCTAAAGATCTTTCGACCCATGCATCCATTGCCCACTGCCGTTGGACGCGAGGTGCTGCCCCAACGCGTCCTTTGCACCTGGGACCCGCCACGCCGGGGGCAGACGAGGAGGTGGATGCTCCTTGGAGCTGTGGGATGTTCGTGATCTTCAAAACCAAATGACATGCGGGCCATTTGTGATCATGCCGGCCGTGATCATCATTTAACCCCAGAAACATCCCAGAACAGCAGTCACTGAAGCGACCGGGGTGTCCATCCTGAGGTGCGCACCTACTTTCGATCGCTGCGCCGGAGGCGGGACGTTCGAAGCATGGGGGAACCGGAACTGCGTGGCCTTTGAAGTCGTATGGATCACCTGGACCACCAAATGGATCACCTGGCCTCGACCCGCGACCCGGCGATTCCAGGTGTGGCGTGCCCACCAGTGAGCTGCCGCGCTTCTTCGAACCGGTGATTCCATGCGCCTTTTCTTCACCGAACCGGTTCGACGGTTGGGTTTGATTGAACGAAGGAACCTTCCAAAAGCTAGGGGGATCGACCTCACCCAAAGTGGTGCCTTTTATGGGGAAGAAACATTTGGCGACTGGTCGTTGCGCTTGCCACAAACCATGAAGGTAGTTTGGATGTAGACCATTTGTATGTGCAGCATTGTTTGGAGACCATTGAAGTTTGGATATGGCATCTACATGCATTTATAATCATATATATATATATATGCGTGTTTGTTCAATATATGTTTAGCATTTGCTGGTTGGTATGTATGAATTTCTTTGCTTTGGGGCGTGGAAGGTGATGCTTTTTTGCTTTATATGTTTTACTTGGGTACAGCTGCTTTTCAGCAGCTCATGGGGAAGCTATGCCACAACCTATTCAAGCAGCAAAATGAAATCCCAATCTTCCAATACTTCAGGCAGACAAAAGTTTACGCTTGTTAGCCTTCTTACAAAACACTCTGA